AGTAAATAAACGACTACGTAGGCTTACGACGCTTCTCACTCGGTGGGGGGGGGGTGGGGTGGAGCATACTCTCTCGTCAAATCAGGTCCTTCCTTCTCATCCTCCTCATCACCATCCTCACGAGGAAAGGGTGTCTCGTCTCCAGATTCATCAGCATTATTGTCGTAATCACTGTTCTCTTGCTCACTCTGTGCATCTGCCAGATCCCGATTTAATACGTCGTCTTCTGGCAATTGAGTGAGTACATGTGGTTCAACTTGCTCGTTTTCACTGCACAATCAACAAAATAATAAGCTACTGAAATTAATAAATACTTTCCATATAGCTGTATCACTTCACTTACAAGTTGTAATGTGATGAAATTCCATGATGGACATTTTCATTTAGGTGATGACTCCCGGATGGACCACCATGATCGAACACAGCAAAACTATGCTTTGGTTCATAATTTGTAAAATTCATATCCGGTCGGTACCCCCTGTTAAATTTATGAGCGTTAATACAAATTCAATACAACAAAAATGTACATCGTAACACAAAGGAAAATTGAATTTTACCACTCGTCTGTGAATTATGTAAAGCAGGCGGTGATAAGTTTAAATCAAGGAAAACTCTTTCATCCGGAACCTGTCCGGCAAAAACTTCTCCAGAATAACCACCCGATGACTGGGGGTTATCTGGAACCTGTCTGGCAACCTTATTGTTGGGAACGTCTTCGACCTTGACGTACATATCCAACATTTTGATTACAAGAAATTACCGGTATTCATCCGGAGTCCTCAGAAAATCCCTCAAAGTTTCATCATCGTCGATGTTTAACTCCGAGTAAAAAGCAACCCCTTGCGGAGTGACGGAATACGAATATCTTTCGGTTTCTTTAAGTATCACTGAGCGTTTCCTCACACTCATTTTTTTGCATAACAACGATATCAATTTATCGTACTCCATTGTAAGTGATAATTTAACATGACCGTGTGGAGATAAACTGTACCTCACAGAGTTATTCTCCATCACAACCTCACCCCCCCCCCCAATATAATGAAACTCTTATTCTACGCTCTTCAGACATTATGAAAAAATGCTTGAGAATTTAACAAGAAGAAAAGTTTGAACGGGAGTTAGAATTTTTGGTGAATGGATTTTCCTAAAATCCTAACCCCTTTATATAGGAAATGGCTAGCCCGGGGGGCTGAAATTTTTTATGTATAGCGCTCTTTGAATGTGCGCTATACACATTTGAATTATTGTTATGTCAGTTAATTTATTGGTGGGCCCATAAAATGGTATAGCGCATGAATTTACTGCATTATATATGTATAGCGTTTTAATTCCAGGCGCTAGCTATACCTAGCAGTCAAGTCGTCAGAGTAAAGCGCACAGATTTTCGGCGCTAAAAAGTATATCGCACTTATTCCTTGCGTACCTTAACGACAAAAGTTACCGTTAAGGTATAGCGCGGCGAATTTCGGCATTATATATAGAAAAGTAACTTTTTTTTTACACTCATTAACGTCACATTTGTCCAAAAAGACAATAAAAAGATTAAGGTTGCTTAATTAACTCCAAAAAAAAAAAAAACTTACGCTTAAGTTTCTCAGGCTTAAACTTTTAATTGAAACGATCGGCACAATATAGTATGGTATCAAAGATAAAGGTCTTGATACCAT